TTGTTGTTAAAGATCTAGCTATATGATATGTAAGGGGACAAATCCAAATTAAAAAGACTACAGATGGACTGGGAAGTATATAGAAGAAAGCTATTGAGAAATTATTAGTAGATCAAAAAGGAAAAAAAGCATTATTAAAGAGGATTACAATGTACCAATAAAACTTTTAATAAATAAGATATTATAGTTCTAGACTTCTATGAACCTAATTAAAATAGCCTCAAAATGTATTAATATGTATTTGCAAATTCATGCATACAGTGGGAGATTTATAAAATATGGAGTTTTGAAAAGGTAATATATTCTCATTTTAAAACTCAGAAAACATAAAAGGCTAAAGATTCCCAGTTAAAAGATTCCCCAGTTTTCGTCCTTCATTTGCTTACTTTCTACCTCTTTCCCCAGGCCACAACAATGTAACCCTTGTCTTAATTTCCTTATTACCCTAAGTTTCTTATATTTTTATATTTGCTTATAATAGCAAATATAAAAAATTTTGTAGTGTGTTTACACACACTATTCTGCATCTTGTTTATTTTCACTTATTAGGCGTTAAGGTCTTTTCATGTTGAATCAAGACCTCCTCATTCATTGTTACTATGACATTATATCCCACTGTATGGACAGAGTTTATTTAACCACTCCCCTATTGATGGGCATTTGGGTTGTTTCTGATGTTTTCCTATCACAAACACTGCTTCTAAGATTAACCTTTATATCCATTACTTTGCATGTGGGTAAATTACCCAAAGAAGAGTTGTTAAGTCAGAAGTGTGTATGTACTTTTGTGATAGCTGATGCCAAATGTTTCTCTGTGGGAGCTATTCTAATGTTCACTCTCATCAGTGTAGAGTATCTGCTCCCCCACATGCCAGAATGTCACCAAATTCTAGATGTTTTTGTCAGTATGGTAGGTGATAACTGATATTCTTAGTGGCATCTTTAAGTTTTTTCTTATTATAGTGAATCTGAGCACTTTTTCATACATTTAGAGCCATTTTTATTTTCTTTTAATTCTCTATTCCTGGTCTTTGCCCATTTTTCTATGGCAGTGGTATTCTGGAGCTTGGCTTGTAGCAGTTCAAAAAAGCCAGCCGGTTGTTAAATTTTTAGGAATTTTGTAAGATTTCTAAAATCACGTTCCATATCCTCAAATGGACCATGGTGGCAATAGTTGCACCATGGTAATTGGAAAACAATGCAAATCAGTAGGACATCCCTCCACTTATTCTTAAACTAGCATGCCACTGGTTGTAGGACTTAATTCTTAGGACCCCTTTATATATTAAGGAAATGAGCCCTTTGTGATACAAATTGCAAAAAGTTTTTCCTAATTTCACTTTTTCTTGAATTTGCTCATGGTTTTCTTTTTTTTAAAATGCTTGGATTTAAAAAATATTAAGTAATTTATTGATTTATTAATTCCCGCCACTGGGGATCGATCCTGGGGTTTCACATGCTAAGCAAGTGCTCTACCACTCAGCTACACCTTTAGCCCTCAGTCTTTTTTTACTTCTTTTAGATCATAGAAAGTTTTTCACTGTGTTACAAAGAAGTATTTCCATGTGTCCTTTTAGAACATTTGTGGTTTCACAAATTTCACATTTAAAAAAAATTTTTTTTAGTTGTAGATGGACACAATGCCTTTATTTAATTCATTTGTTTTTATGTAGTGCTGAGGATCAAACCCAGTTCCTCACATGTGCTTGGCAAGCTCTCTACCACTGAGCTACAGCCCCAGCCCTTGCATTTTAATCTTAGGTCCATTTGCTGTTTTTAATGATACAAAGTGTGAAATATGATCCCATTCATTTTTCCAAAGCAAAATATTATCAAATGAAATTCTTAGTGTATATTTTTAAAATGTAGGACAATGTGCTGAACTCCTATCAGGTTTTGTGAGGTGAAGCAAAAACAAAGCTTAGAGGGAAATTCATAGTCTTAAATTTATATTAGAAGAGACTAATTTAGGAGTTGAATTTCAGTCTATTAGAAAAGCAAACAAAGCCAACCCAGAGAAGAGTAGGAAGAAAATAATGAAGATAAGAGTAAAAACTAATAAAATAGAAAATAAACACTCAGTAGCGAGGGTTAAGAAACATAAAATTCAATTCTTTGAAAACTAATAAAATTTGCAAACTTTGGGAAACGTCAATTGAAGCAGAAAAAAGGTACAAGTAAACTATGAAGATAAAGTAGTTGAAAATGTGGATCAATAGGAGACAACTTATTTTGATAATTTAAAAAATAATTATAGACAAATTTCAGGAAAACCCAAAACTATTTTATTATTTGAGTAGTTGTAAGACTACATTAAGTACTTTAATCTGTTAAAACTTGTAGGGAGAGGGAGCATGGGAGGAATAGAGGAACTCTAGATAGGGCAGAGGGGAGAGAAGAGGGGATGGGAGTGGGTTAGCAATGATGGTGGAATGTGATGGACATCATTATCCAAAGTACATATATGAAGACATGAATTGGTGTGAACATAATTTATATACAGATATGAAAAATTATGTTTTTACATGTGTAATAAGAATTGTGATGTATTCCACTGTCATGCGTTTAAAAAATAAAAGCAATTTTTAAAAAATCTGTTAAAACTCTCTTACCCTACACCTCCCAAAAAAGAAATGGGGAGAGGAGAGGCAGAAATTGGGCAGCAGGTACCAAACATAGCCAGATAAGAGGAAGTATTTTTAGTGTTCTACAGCACAATAAGGAGTCCATAGTTTAACAATTTGTTATACATTTTAGAAAGACCTAAGAGAGAGGAGTTCAGAGGTTCCCAATGTGAAGAAATGGTTAAAGTTTAATTGGAGAGAAATGCTAATTACCTTAGTTTGATCATTACACATTGTATGAATGTATCAAATTATTCCATAAATATGTACAATTAGTTAACGTGGAAAAAATTTTTTTTTTAAAAAAGATACTTACCATGCTCACTCAGATGGTTATGTATACAAGTTGTCTTAGGTGTTGAAACATTTCAATCTTAAGCAAAAGTCAGAACAGAAAAGGAAGGAACTCCTCTCACTGGTTTAACCTTAGCATTAGAGTGCAATGCACATGTTCTCTGTGGTGTGTGTGTATGACATGACCACATGGTATATTCCAGGTTTAGTTCACATTCAGGTAAAAAGCTCTTCTTTCAGAAGATGCAGAGCATCAGAAACTTCAATGAACATTTATGACAAAAGTTCTTAGCTACTAGCATAGAAATGAATATTTTTAACCTGTTAAGATTATATATACTGTGACATTCCAGATATTTTTTTTCATACTATTGGGGTGCTCTACCACTGAGCTATATCCCCAGCAAGCCCCACCACCTCACTTTTCTTTCTTTTTTCTTTTTTTTGAGACAGGGTCAAGGTCTTACCAAGTTAAGACTGTCCTCAAATTTGTGATCCTCCTGCCCTTGTCTCCTGAGTCACTGGCATTATAGTATGCCACCATGCCTGGCTCAGAATTGGTTTTAAATCTGGTTTTGAGTCACCAATGCCTGTCTACCCTCACTGCTTTTATTTAGCATAGTGATACATGACTAAGACAGCCCATTAATGGCAAAAAAATTTAAATGATTTGAAGGGAAGCAGTTGGCGTCATATTTGTAGATAACATTCTGTTTCGATACCTCCAAATAGTCTATATACAAGTCAGTGGAATTGGTAAAAGTTTAACAGCATTCCTAGGGTTAAGATAAGAATATAATGATTAATTACATTTTTATATGTCAATAATAGTTATAAATTATAATTTAATAAAATATACTGTGTAGAATTTTTTAAAAAGCACCTGTGATGAGTCTATAAAAATTGAGTCAGACCTTTGGAAAAGACAACAAAAGTAGCATTGTAAGTCAATAAGAAGAGTTAAGTAAATTTAATCTGAGTATTGGTCAGTGGTATGGAAAAAATCCCCTTAGGGTCCTCACAAATACAGTATTGAGCAAAGCAGTGCATTTTAGGGAAAAATATAACTTGTGTTACAATTTAAATTTTAAATTATTCAAAACAGTGCCATGTATTTTCTTGGCTATGGAAGTATATTTATTTACAAAATAAGAAACGTAAGGAAATGCTGGACACTTGAGTTTGTTTAAGATCATGTTACCAAATGTTGGAGGAAGACATAAGATTTAAGGGGGTAGCAAAGAGGGTTTTTGTTTTTAAGCCAAATGGGCTACATGTTCAGTTTAAAAATCTTTTTGTAATTTAAAACAAGAAATTAGACTCAGTAATTTCTCCATGTTCATTTTGTCCGACTGCTTTGGTGACTTAGGAGAATCAAAGGACCTCATTCATAGGCCAGCTGACCTGCCAGGCACAGGTATCCAAACCAGTGGTGTGACATAAACAGATCTTCTTTGTTTCTCTGTTTTCCCATCTTAAAATGGCAACAGTTTCTTCTTATGTTGTGAAGATTCCAATTAGACATATAGTTTCTAATAGGGTAAACAATATAACTTAATTCTCATGTAGATTCTATAATTTTTGTATATCTTTCCTTAAATTTCTACTATAAGTGATTGATTGCAGTTTTTTTTTTTTTTTAATGTTGTGCTTTCTTTATTATTCCTTACCTTTCTTTCTTAAGCCTCCCTCAGGCCTTGGGATTGTTTTTCTGCATTTCTTTTCTGCAAGCTTTGCCAGATGCTGGGGTACATGAAACTTTGAACAATATAAGAAGGCAGAAGAAGTTCACATTAGTTCCTGTTTTCCCTGTCAGACCCAATTCTGATTGGATTGGCAGGAGGGGCATTTTGTGCTCCCTTGAAATCAGAGAAGCCCTATGGAGAATTTTTTAAAAACTGTCATTCTTGATCATCCTGGTATCAGATCTCATTTGGAGGGGGAGACTTGGTTCAAAAAAAGCCCCTGCTTCCTGCATAGTTGACTCCATCAGTGCCCTTTGCTCGAGATGTAGGTTCTTTTCTCAAGTAGGTCACACTTGCTGAAAATGTTACGGAAACATGTTTTTGCTATGTCCTCCAGGTCGCATCCGCACAAGAAGACAAAGCTCCGGGAGTGCCACCAATGTTGCTTCTACACCTTCTGACAGTCGGGGCCGCAGTCGTGCTAAAGTGGTTTCACAGTCTCAGCGTAAGATTACCCTAGTTTCCTTCTTGATAACCTTAGTTTCATTCAACAGCATGTTCTCCAGTTGAGCAGTTCACAGTATTTGAACTGGTTTCAAGGGAAAGATGCACTTTTGTGGCTCTAAGATACTGTGGTAATCACATTATTTCTTGGTAAGATTACAAAATGGATTATTCCAGTCATAATCTGGTGTCCTTTCCAGGTGACTTAAACCTTGTGCTGTTTAAGCATTAAAGTATACTCTCTTCCCATTCTGAAGTCTCTCAAATTGAAACCTATCTGTTCTGTGACCCATTTTTGTTATTGACAAGGAACCCTTCTGATGTAATTTTAGGGCAGAACCTGTACAGAAATAATGAATGCTGAGTTTTTTCCAGGGGTAAATAAGTAAATCCATTAAATGCTCCCCCTTTAACCCTTTGTGTTAACATTTATATCCTGCACCTGTCTTCTCACCAGTGTAGGCTCTTGCTTTGCCTAGCTGCCCCTGCTCGCTTCCATGATTGCTTTTCTGTATATGTGAAGTCAGTTCATTTGAGAGCTCAGCTAGGAAAGCAGTGTAGCTGGAATGGATTAATTCTGATCAGTGTCCGAATCCAACCTTGCTGTCTCACCTTCCTGTTCCATGTAGGTGTGAGTGGTCTGCTGCCTCTGTGCACAAAGAGCGTGCCCCAGGGCAAAGGGAGTGTGGGCAGAAAGGGTCTTCCTGTGCTCAGGAGCTGCACATATTCACATTCCCTTAGCTAAGCTTCTTTAGCTGGCATGAGTCTATCACCATCTTGTCCCCAGGAGCTGTCTAGCTCTTGTGGGGTACTCACTACAACCAAACCTTGGGATCTTGCTTAGTATTGAGAATGCCTATTATAATCCCATGAATTTAGATTCTTTTCCATGTCCCTTTTGGCAACTGTAGTCCTCATGTTAAAAAGTTTAGATCTTTTTGCCAAGAATAGTGGAAGGTCAGTCCCATTGCTGCCTCTAGTGAGGCTACAGAATCTTTCTGACATCTGTGGTAAGGTGCAGTACAGTATGCAACAAACACGTGCTTCAGTGTCACACAAACCTGATTCCTTTATATCCTGGCTCCAGTGGGTTGTTGGATGAATCTTTTAACTTGGTGAGCCTTTGTTTCACTGTCTGTAAATGGAGCCGAAACAAAGCCCACCCGCATGGGGCTTTTGTGAGGATTTATTAAGAAATATGAAGCTAGCCTGTGATAGACACTCAGTAAACAGAAACAGGCATTAGAACCATATTGGCTTCAGCCTGAATCAAGTGGCCTTTATCCATGACCACTATGAGGCTTAGGAAAGAAATCTAGGGATGAATTTTTGTTATGGGGAATACTGTAAGGCTAGAATAGACTCTGTTAAGCGAAGAAAGCCTTACTTCTCTGGGTTTTCCATTCAGATCTGGGTGTAGGTATTACCCAGAAGCTTCTGCCTTGGCAGCTGGCTGCACCCCAACTCATTCTTGGGTTGAATTCTTGTGATTCCTGGAATGTCCAGCCATGTCCTCATAAACATTGGTCAGATCTTACTATGAATAACTCTTCTTGACCAGAAAAGGTCAATATAAAGAAATTTAGTCTAATAAAAACCATCTTTGCCTTTAACTGTGCAGTGTTATTTACTTCTGTAGAGATGAGGGTTGAACAGTAGTAAGCATTTCTTTTAGTCTGCTGTTCATTGGCATTGGCCTCTGCAGGGTTCCTGCCTCAGCTAGGTCAATACTGTATCCCTCTCTCCCTAGTATAGGTTTTAGGAATCCATTTGTTACTTGTGCTTAGGGAGTGGTGAAGATCAAAATTCCTTCTCTAGAGAGACTCAGTGGGGTAGAGCTTTTTAATTCTGTATACTTATCAACATACTGAAGCTGGCCCTAGGGCTCCACTTTAAACCTCTTTAGCTTTATTTTACTTGCCTGACTAACCCACAGGAAGGGAGACCACCAAACAGCAGCATATGGTTAAGCCTGCACCGTAAGCCTATGCGTATAAATTAAATACTTTTAGCAATTATTTCAATAAGAAATCGACATAAATGCACCTATATGTATATGTACATATGTATATAAAACAGAATTGATGGTTCCTGTTTAATACTAAGTACGTTTTATTAATATTAGATTTACAGCCCTTAACAATTGGCATATTTTAAATATTTGTAGATTAAAGAAAGTGGTAGAACATTCAGGTGAAATTAGTCAGTGGCAGTTTCTTTCCAGTCATCGATACATGTCGAATACTTACTCTGTTGAAGATGATAGTGATACACAAATGAGCAAATTATGCTCACTTCCCTCATATTGCTTAGACCTGGAGAGGAGATGTTCTCTGGAAAGGTGAGATGCTGATCTTATTCTTTTCCACATCTCTTGACCCTAACACTGTGCCTGGCAGGCACATTGTAGACTTATGTTTTATGAACAGATGTGAAGTAAATGCTAATATAGTGTGATGAGTATAAAATAGACATATGTACATAAGTAGATGAGGAGGAACTAGTCCCAGGAAAAATAGCTATTTTGCTGAAGTGTTTGTTGATGAGACATTTGCGTTGTGTTGCATGCTGACCTGCTATATTGTGTTATTGTCTTTTAATCCACTTTTGCCTGTCCTTTGGTCTGCTCTCATAATCAAGGATCCAGATCTGCTAATCCTGCTGGTGGTAAGCCATATCTCTTCTTGCCTTTTTTGTTTTTTTGCATTCTCCCTCACCCCATGTTCTTTGCACAATATTAATTTTTCTTTTTTATGAGCTTAATTAATCTCCTGCATTTTTCTGTATGTTCAAATACTAGAGTTTGAAATGGATTTCTTTTCCTCTTTTACATAGCTTAGCAGTTTATTTATGTGCTCAAATTTTATAGGCAAAATTAATAGGTCCTGAGTCAGTTCTTCATGGTAATGTGTATTATTGATTTTTGTGACTTTCACAATCATGTAGTTAAATCATTTTAAAGTTTTTTTTTTGCAAAAATCACCCAGCTGATTCATATGAATGATAGTAGTTTTACTAAATGTAATGTAAATTTTTGAAATATAAATTTTAATATATTTAAAAAATATATATTGCGTGTTGTCTGTGTGTAAAATTTCCAGGTAAGTACTGTTTCAAAGGACCCACCCCCACCCCGCCCTGCAGACCATTCTATTTTGATACAAAATAATGTGTGCTTTGCATTTTAGAATTTTATTACCTTTCTGCTTAAGGACATGATCCAAGTTAATGATCATTAGGGTGTACACTGGTATAATGCTAAAAATTTTGCTGTTTGACAGATAATTTTTCCTACAGGAAATGGTTAGGTTGGTATTTAGCTACTTAGCTATTAATAAAAATTACCATGTTGCTTATAATTTCCAGTTGTATTGCATATTTTCCAGGAAATATGGTCTATGTGATTTCCACTTTTGCAGATTGTTTTGAAACTTGCATTGAGGCTTAGTATGCAGTTAGTTTTATGTCTAGAAAGGTGAAAAGAATATGTTTTATCTGCTGGGATAATGTGTATATAGGAGGGGTGTGTGTGTGTGTGTGTGTGTGTGTGTGTGTGTGTGTGTGTGGCACGTGCGCGCACACAGTTGTGGGGTTGCTTAAAGATAAGGATACACTCTGAGCAGTGCATTGTTAGGTGATTTTGTTGATATGAGAATATCACTGAGTATGCTTACACAAATTGAGATGGCAACATCACCAGGCCACATAATCAAACAGGACTACTGTTCTGATCTGTCATTGACCAAAACATGTGCCTGTATATACACATATACTCAAAACACATACACATAGAATTATGTCTGCTTGCTATGTCAGTTTTTCTGAGAGGGTTGTTAGTCTTTCTTGACATTGTTAGTAATTATGACTTTTTCCCTACATTTTAATCTTATTTATGTTTTATATTTCAAAGCTATATTGTTTGGAGCATGAACATTTGTGGTTATGACCTTCATAGAAAGTTATTTTTTTAAAATCAGTGTTAAGTCTCCTTCTCTATCTTTTTTAAATGCTGTACTTTATTCTGTTTTTTCTTTGTTTTTCTGTAGATGTGTTATTTGACTCTTTAAAAACAGCATGTGTTTTTTTGTTTGTTTGTTTTTAAATCAATTCAAGAAGCCCTGTCTTTTAGTAGATGAATTTAATCTGGCCACCTTTGTTATGATTACTGAAATGTTTGTGAATGTTTTTAAACCCATGTTTCTAATTATTTCTCCTCCTTTTTTCCTCTTCCATTTGTTAAATTAATGGCAATTTTTTTATCCATTTTCCCTAATTAATGCTTAACAGATTTCTGTTACAGTTATATTTCTGCTCTTCTTGTAGTTACACTTAAATTTTTAACATACTCTGATAGAATAAAAACCCCAAATGATAGGGACAGGGGATATAGTTCAGGGGTAGAACATTTGCCTAACATTTGCCTTCAGTTTTTGAGTCAGAAATTGTGCAACTTTGTAGAATTCCACCAGTAACTCTTCTAAGCATGGATGTGATCTTTTTATGATATTCTTTTATGTGCATACATTTCTTAAAAAGTAGTACTATCACCAACAAAATCTATTTTATATAAAATTCTTTTCATATTTAATCAAAGTTGATATATAAAAACTTGATTTTGAAATTGTTGTAATCTATTAGTCAATTTACATCCATCATTCATTTCTGTGTTGCTTCATTTTTAGCTGGCAGTCGGTCGAGTTCCCCCGGGAAATTGTTGGGAAGTGGCTATGGTGGACTTGCTGGTGGTTCTTCGAGAGGCCCACCTGTGACACCATCTTCAGAAAAACGAAGCAAGATTCCCAGGAGTCAGGGGTGTAGCCGAGAAACAAGTCCAAACCGAATAGGATTAGGTAAGGATCCTCAAATACCTTGGAACACCATTTCCAGTTTGGTCACAATTTTTATTGTAATCTAATAACTGTGTCTAATGTAAGAAATAGAGATCTATTTTTTAACTGAAGTTATTATTTTGGCTGTGTTGAAAAGACATTTTGATTTGTGCTTTATCCAGGTTATGACACATTGAAGTGTCAAAACCAAAAATCTCTGTGGGAGTTACTGTTCAAATTGATGTGAAAGAATTTCATCATTATAGATTCGTGTTTTATGTCATTTTGCAAAGCATTGGAATTGGGGAAGTAGGCAGAGGTTTTCCCTCTTTTCACTAATTTCACACTAAATAGCCATTGACCTATATTGACTTTCAAAGCCAATTTTTAGGGTCCCTATTTATTTTGATTTTTATCTTTAATTTGGTGAAACCTGTGGTCAAGGAATAGGAATAGTTACTTTTGACATGATTTTGTTGAAACCTAAAAGGAATTGATGAAGATAATATTTATTTTTGTGTTGTAGTATTTAGTTTCTGTAATTCTATATGAATCCTATGAATTATTTCTGCACTTAAAGATCTTTTATTCTACTAAAATTTAATTTCTGTGTTACATTTTTATATAAAATTAGAAGTCTTTTGTGGTAGAATACAAAAAATTTTAAATTTATACTTTTTATCACATCAATATCTGCTTTCTAAAGTAAAAATCTGTTACTATAAAACCAGAGTATCGTATCCTTAAGTCCTGTTGGCTTATCTTTCACATTTATTCATTTATCTTCTCAATAATTTTGTCTTGAATATTTATTGTAATGTACTGGGAACTTCATTAGATCTGATAATTAGAAGATAAATGAACTAGATTTAGATTCCGACTGGAGTCTTTGATATATATTGGTAAGAGGTGGAAATGCAAAACTGTATGGTAAATACTAAGACTATTTATTCTGGGTCTATAAAATGGGATGTCTTAGCCTTTGTCTACCCCAGACCTCCTAGGTTTCCTGTTAAGGGAGGCTTCCCAGAATAAGTCCTATTGTGAAGTACAGTGTTAACAGGGGAGGGAGGATAGGGGAAAGAGTTCTAAGGGGAGAGAGATGCAAAAGTGGGCAGAAGGGGGACCCCTGAGCAATTCATTTGACTATAGCCAAGGGGTGTGGAAGTGGAGGACAGAAGGACCGGTGGGGTTCAGCTCACAAAGACCCCAGGAGGCCCTCTGAGCTACGAGAAGGCAGGGACAAATATCTAAGAACACATAGAGTTTGGTTTGAACTCCTATTTCCAAGCAAGGCAAAAGTATTTAGTGGTTTCTTTAATTCTCCATGATGCTGACTTCTGTGGGCATGACAGAGCATCATCTCTGAGCTGACAAATTTGGGTATTGATATGTCTGCAACCAGAGAAAAGGTCAAAGCTAGAATACTTCAATTTCTCATATGATGATGCAATATATCAGTGTTCAGATCTAATTTGGTTTGGAAAATACATTTGATTTTAAATCTAGGTGAGATTTCAGCAGTTCTAATTGCTGAAGTTTAAAAAATGTCTGGGTGCAAGCCATACTAGTATTGTTGTTTTAAAAATTCTTTTTTGCTTAGGAACTTTTCGTTTTGTGTTTAATTATTAAAGGTGCTATTTTTATTTTCTTGAAATTAGGAAGTAATCCAGCTTCCAACATAACTCTTAAGATCTGATATTCCAAGGTCTTACTATGATTTTTATGTTGTGAATAGTGGAGAAGACAACATTTTATAAACTCTTAAAAGCAGTATTAATAAACATCAGTAGAATTAAAAAGGAGCTTTGTCTCTTCCACAGAGCTGTTATTTAAAGTATTATTTTGAAGTTGTTTCCTTGATACTGATTAAGAGGATTAGTGAACAATGAAGCTTTGAGGTTTTACATACTGTTCTGGTTAAAGAAGATATTTTATTTAAATTTTTTCACATTGAGAATACACATATATAAAGAAATATCTGAACAAAATACATCTGTCTGCTTATTCCTATAGTACTGTTTAAAGATTCTATTTATAGGGTAGCAGATATATTAGCATTTTTCAGCAATAGATTATTTATCTTTGTGATCATTTAGTGTATACTGGATACGTGTGTGTGTCTAAACATTTGGTTTGTTGTATAACAATTTTAAATACAAATACTCAAAAAAGAGGGATATTTTAAGAATTTTTTTTTTACAATCTCCAAAACAATTAATTCAACAATTTTAATGATATCTAAACTAGCTTAGAATTGCAATGATAATGATTTCTAATTCTCTACAAATTATGTTTGGTTCGATTGTACCTTTTTTTGTTTGAAAATGTATTTCTTAACTAACATTTTTTTCTTATTTGTTTTAAAACTGATGCCAAGGTTCTTTTTTGGCATTTAAGATTTCTTAAGCATAATTCCTGTTGGATAACCAAGAAACAAAATAAATCCTTCTATTCTCTTGGCAGGTTATTTCTTCATAAGCTCCTAATCAGTGATAAAATACATTTGTAAATTGTTTCATTTTTGTGTGTTTTAAAGACAGTGAAGACTTTACAGATCATAAAACGGCATGACTAGCCAGCACCTATAGCAATTTTATCTGGCTGCTTGCCTTTGTTTCCTGTTTATCTATTATAAAGGCTATAAAAGGCACACTTGGCATTTTTATAGCTTACATTCTATGGATATTTATTTAAAGTATCTTAAGATTTTCTGATTAAAAATATATTGCAGGAATTTAAAAATAATTTATTTCAACTAAGAAATTAGACAATTGTGACATGAAAATACGTAGACCTTGAGATGTTTCAAGTGTTTAACTTCTAGTACTTTTCATTAATCCTTTTATACTTAGGCTTTGGGTATGAGTTCTTGTTGGATCCTTCCTTAGAAGCTAAAAGTCAGAATTACCATTAAAACACTGTGAAGGGTAGGGTAGAGTATCAGGAAGTGAAAACCAAGCGAGTGATTTTTTTAAGGCCTCTTAGCATATTTATGTAAGCAAAAGACTGAAGAGCAACCTGGGAATACTGCTTTTAGAAAGTTCAAGTGGCAAGTATGCTTTCCTTGTTTCTTTCTCTTGTACCTTCTCCATATCTTATTCTTACATAGAACATAGAATGTTCAGTTTAGATACTTATTATTGATCTTTTTTTTTTTGGTCACTTTATTGTGAGTCTGTAAAAATAATTTATTTATTTATTTATTTTAAATCCTCCTTGTAGATTATTAGGTTCTGGAAATAGTTACAAGTTGGTGGGTGTTTTTCCTCTTGTGATTTAAAACATTCAAACAATTGGAGTCACTATCAGATGTACTTTAATGAGGTTTGGGGCAACTCTGGGCACACTTCCACAAATTATAAACAGAATTCTCCAAGCTACTACTTGCCATATGACAGAGGAGCCTGTCAACCCAAGCAGGTGTGTGAACTCTGGGTTAGATAACAGGAAGGTGGGCCTTGTTAAGTTTACATGTGTAGTTATTTCAGATCCCATCTGTTTATCCCTATTGATTCTCTTTACTGTCTTTATAAACCAGATTCACACCAGAGAGAGTGAAGGTAGGGGTAGAGGATCAGGAAATGAAAACCAGTCAAGGAGCATTTCAAGGCTTCTCAGTATTTGAGAAAGAGAGAACTTTTATTTCCCACTGTTGTAGCATATATATGAACTCAAGGAAAGGGTTGGGATCTGGGTAAAAAATATAGAAGTTATCAAGCATGTTAAGAAGAAACAGTTGAGAGGGGCTGGGGTTGTAGCTCAGCAGTAGAGCGCTCACCTAGCAAGTGCGAAGCGCTGGGTTCAATCCTCAGCACCACATAAAAATAAATAAATAAAGGTATTGTGTTCAACTACAACTAAAAAATAATTTTAAAAAATTAAAAAAGAAGAAACAGTTATGAAATGCTCAACTAAGCATGCTTTTACAATCAAAACTATGAATATTGTATTTTTGTGTGGGGGGCGGTAGGAGTGTTACCAGGAATTGAACTCAAGGGCACTTTGAGCCACATCCCCAGCCCTATTTTGTATTTTATTTAGAAACAAGGTTTCTCTAAGTTGCTTAGCATTTTACTTTTGCCAAGTCTGGCTTTGAACTCAGGATCCTCCTGCGTCAGCCTCCCAAACCACTGGGATTATAGGCATGTACCACCATGCCTGGCTGAATACTGTTTTTATTTCTGTTTGAATATCTGTTTGGAGTGGATGGTAGATGAAGACAAGATTTTCATATATGCCACTCAGCACAAAACTCAGAAGTTATATACATATATGCATTATCTCATAGCTCTCTTTTGTTAAATGATGGGGTTCTTTCTTATCTTATTTTTGTAAGGGGAGGCTGAGACCTAGAGAGGACATGTGGCTGGATCAGTAAGTTAGCTTGGACCCGAAGAGGTCTCTTCATAACTCAGATATAGGTTGGTCATTAGCAGTATTGCTTTGTACATTTTAGGAAATTTCTCTATTAGTTGGGTTGGTAGATGGTGCTGAGAATCGAACCCAGTGCCTCACGCATGCCAGGCAAGTGCGCTACCTCAGAGCCCCAGCCCTAGCCCCAGTCCCTTTAGTTTTTTTTAAAGGATTTAATTTGGCACCTAGTGCTTTTGCCTCCTTGCAGGAGCTATTTAGAATATAATCAAGAATTGTTGATTAAATAGTCACTACTACATGGAGTGAAAATTTGGGGTTCCATGTCACTCTGACAAAATTGAGGAGAGTTTTTAGGGATTTCTAGTGAAATTCCAGTGACACTCTGTTTGCCTAATTGCTCAGATTGCATTCATGTGCCAGACCTTTCCTTCTCTGAGTAGTACTAAGCATTTGGATGTCGTTTACAAACCTTCAGGGTCTTTTCAACCACACACTGAGCAGCTGAGCACAAGAGGAATTTGACTTCATTTTTCACTTCCATATACTTCACAAAACTTCAGTAAGTTTCAAGATTCTGGTTAGTAGTACATTCTTGTTATAGTTTGTACAATAAATCTTGGCTCTAAAATAATAGGGTGTACTCATTGCAGTCTAGATAATGTATTTGATTTTACATTTGTGGGTCAAGTTTACAGTTTCCAAAACCTCCAGGAAAGCCATTTTTGTGCAGTCTGGAAGTGACGGAGCTCACTAGATGGAAATATGTAGTCTTTGTAAGCTGGTATGTTAGGCATTCCACCTACACATATCAGTATGTGATGTTGTTTTGGAATATTTTGTCAGTAATTTATTTCTGTCTTCACAGATTAAATTGAGAAACAAGGGTATCATGGTCTTTCTGAGCTTCAGCCATATTATTATTAGACCTTAGCCAATGCATGATAATATGTCTTATAATCTCAGTGTTTAAAACATGAGAATAATAAACTTTATCTGTACATAATCATAGTTAGCTGGCCTCAGATCAGTGGAGGGATCTTTCACCTGAATACTGAGATTATCAGTCCACTTGGTGTAGGCTTGGTGTGTAAGACCACTGGATCGGTGGAGGTGCTTAGAAGGGACTGCAGGCAACTCCATTTGGATTTCTGTAGAAGCAGCACATTTAAAATGTTGGCATCAGAAAATGAAAAGATAGAAGTCCCAACTCTTTACTTCTGTTGGCTTAGGTCATTAAGTATGTCTGAAGCACTTACACTCTTACTCAAGTTGGCTGTCTCTCCAGTTATACCAGCCTTTTAAGGCTTCTTGTTTAAAGAAGGCCTCAGAGAGGCTAGCCTTCTTTCTTTTAATTGGGTGAGTTTGTGGATTTCAGTGATTATTAATCCAAATTGAATTGTCTTTTAAGAACCAGATACCTATGAAAACAACTTTGGTGATTTGTCCTCTTGTCGAAGTTTGTCAAAGCCATAAAAACCAAAAGCTTTTGATCTTGTGCTTTAGGAAGCCAGTTTGTTCTTTCGAAAGGTTTCTTTTCGTCTTACCTTTAGGTGTAATTCTACCTTCACACAAAGTTCCCAGCTTTCTGAGGCACTGAGCGTAATCACATTTATCCAGACTCCCCTCTGTTGGTACAACAGTCAGACCTCAGCGCGGATAGATGACCCAGTCCCGGACTCCCAGGGTGGACAATGTCATAATTACATTAACCAAATGTGACTGACGTTTTGTGAGTTTTCTGTCTTCATTAAACTTGTTCACCTTCTCTGAAACCCCTCATGCTGCACGCTAGCACGGAGCAGCCGTATCCCTCGACCCAGCATGAGTCAGGGGTGCAGCCGCGATACCAGCCGTGAGAGCAGCCGAGATACAAGCCCCGCTCGGGGCTTCCCTCCACTCGGTGAGTACACGGAGGCGCTGCCCCAGGAGCAGGTTCCTCTCCCTGCTCCCGATGCTTGTCCGAGACACCGCTGGGTGGAATGACCTGCTTTTCTGCTGTCCTGTGATCCTTTCTTCTCTTTCCTCTTCCTTAGTCACCCTTTGTTTTCCCCTCTGCATGCTTGGATTTCAGCAACTCCCAGTTTTCACATACTAGAGGAAAAAAGCACCACTTCACTCTACTGTTGTCATTATAATCACTTGCTACCAGGCAAGCCCCTCCATGTGGTGATTTCCAACATGAGGCAAAAAACTCAAGTTAATCACTGCTTGAAAGTAAAGTTAACCTAAAGTTGATCCTTAGTCATTAAATTTCTACAATTTGCCTTCAGTTTTACTAGACATCAATTTATATATAATGTAGTTCGAGGAAAAAAAGTATAGCCACGATAACATTTAGAAAACTAGATGAGTTTCCTTTTTAGTTTTAATAGTCTTACCTTTCTCTAAAATAGGCATGTAATATATCATTTTATCCTAGTACAATTTATGGAATTCCCGAAGAAATCTGATCAACACATATTTTATGAAAAGGAATATTTCATATTCTTCAGTAATTATTTTTTAGTTCTTTGGCATGTTGAATGCTGTATATTTCCCCCTTGATGAACATAGTAGAAAGCATTTTGTAATAATTAGACCTAGACCTAAAATGATTACGTGAAGCACGGACTCCAGCAGTTTGTGATTTTGACTATAGGATTATGCAACTGATTTTAAAAAATTTGTTAAGGGTCACTCTAGTAGAGGGATGTTAAATCAAAAGCATAAGGTCTTTATATTTGCCTCTGTCTCCTGCTAACATTGTGTACTTCTTCTGATGTCTTTTGTCCCCAATCAGTGTCAGTAATCAAAGTCTAGATGTATGAGGTTCTGAAAAAGAGCAAGTCATAGATGCCACCACTCTAGTCGGCTAGAAGATGATTCCCTTGACATAGTGATTCTACATGGTTAGCAGGAGCCCCTGAGTGGGGCACCTTTACCTAGAGCAAGTCAGGTATTCCATAGAAACCTGAAGCATTAGAGCAGAATTCTCAGTGAGACAGGGGTGGCAATGATTTTTTTCTTCTGAATGAACTGGTGATTTTTCCTTGTAAATTAAGGCTGTATCTATGCATCCTTGCCTACTATTTGACCTTCCAGATAATCTGTAGATAAATAATTCACTCTGTTCTATTGGTTATATTGTCTTTTAGAAGCAATTAAGCAATTTTATTTTATACATGTGCTGATATTTTTAATATTATCTGTGGAAGCAACCTTTGTAATCTGGCATGTGGTCTGTGGACCAGGCAAGGCATGCTGCATTCTTGAACTCCCGTTGAACACTGAATAACTCAGTAATGGCATCTGTCTTTCACTCTTTGGGTAAGCAGATCTGCTTGACTGTCTTGATGATAACACAAAATGTTGAAATATATTAGCATCAGCTCATATTTTTTGTGTGGTCTGAGCAATAGGGAATGTCTCTTAAGCTAAATTTTTATACCAAGCCTTTCCCTCCGTTGAGTTAAACTCATGCAACAATATCCCATGTGTTCCTGTGCCATTCAGAGCAGTCAACAGGCATAACACCTTGTGGTTCTGGTCACCCTCTGGGATAGGTGTTACTATTCTCCAGGCCACACAGTGGCTAGAGCCAGCATTTGAATCCAGGTTTGACTTCAAACCTGCCTTATTTGAAAGTACTTTTGATAACTCGTTTTGTTCCTCAAAAATATATGAAATGATTTTGTAAGGCCTGAGAGCTCGGCACAGTAGAAAGTGCTCAACAGCTGTTTCTGGGTTAGCGACTTCCAGGCTTAGGACCTGAGAATACAGAGACACATTCCAAAAGGTTGTCCCCAAGGTAACTTATTGCACATTCTCTGAAGTTCATTCTTTTATTCATTCATTTTTAATAACCACTTCCTACTGCTGTTGGAAATTAGATTTGTCAATGCCCCTTTAGATCAACTTACATGGAAAACCCTTCATAAAGGAAAAAAGGTAACGAATAGTTATGTTTCAGTGAATACATTCATTCCTCATGTCCCCAGGGTATTAATTTCAGTACCCCATGCTGATACCAAATCCAGAGATGCTAGTCAGGCCTGGTGGCACATGCCTGTAACCCCAGCAACTCAATATCTGAAGTAGGAGGATGGCACGTTTGAGGCCAGCCTCAACAATTTAGCGAGACCCTCAGCAATTTAGGAAGGTCCTGTTTAAAAATAATTTTTTTTTTTTTTTTTACTTAGGAGTAAAGTGCCGCTGGGTTCCATCCTCAGTACCATAAATAAATAAATATTTTAAAAATCCGCAGATGCTCAAGTCCCTTATATAAAATGGCATAGTATTTGCTAATAATCTACACATCCCCCTTTAAATCTTCTCTAAGTTATTTCTGATACCTAATACAAAGTAAATGCTCTATAAATGATTGTTATATTGCTTAGAGAATAATGACAAGCAAAAAGGTCTGTTCGTGTTTAGGACAGACATTTTTTTTCTTCCCTCACCTGTAGTTGGTTGAGTCCACAGATGTGGAACTGGTGAATAGAGGGCTGGCTGTATACATTGTTTTAAGTTTGCATGATTGTTAAAGCATCTTACTGCTATGAATGTGTATGAATAATGGTTACAGTGATAATCGTTGAATGAAATAAAGGACTCTAGAACCCTGCTGTAAATCAGGCTTTGTACGTAAGTGGGTCCATCTTGGATGATGTCGTTGGGTGTTCACTGTAAACATGACAGAATGCATTGCACAACAAATTTATTATAGAATATTCTGTTGAAATAGAAGCAAAGGACTACTTACTTAGGAAACTACAGATCAGATGTTGCCATTTCCAATTTAACTTATCAAAATACAGTACTGATATACTAGTATGATAGATGTGTGGTTTGTTTCAGTCTTAACAAAACATTTTACCAACTTCCATATTTAGGAAAGTGGTAAGTTTATTATATTTTAGAGGTTGCCTATTTATTTTTACTTCTGTGAATATTGAGAAAGGAAGGATATTCTTTTTGTAAGCTGGTAAAATTTTGTTGACCAAATAACCTTTGCTTATAATTGCTACCACATATACCACAGATGCGTGCATTCTTATAAAGTAACATGAGCTTTAAAAAATAGTGGAAGAATCTGAGGTTTTGATATTTTATGACTAAATGTGTTAATGTATACAGAATAGTAATGTGGATGAAAGGTAACTCCTCAGTATGACCTTGTAAAATCTATTAACTTATATGGTCTAATCATCATCACTTTTTTCAGACTAAGGAATGGAAGCATTTTATCTTTGGGTTCTTTTCTTGAGATAAATGCAGGACCATATATTGCATGGAACTATAATCAAATACATTAGTGTTTTGAACCAAGTCTCTTATTTCATAATTATTTCTAAAAGCTATTCTCTTTCCTCACGAGGACAGAGTTTAGTATTTATTTCTTCGGGTTGGTTAATTAATATATTTACTATGATTACTTGCTGATAATATTCTTATTTCTGAATGTACATTGGAGTTGAGGAGTTGATTCTTAACAGTTACTGCTACCACCATTACTAATTAATTAATGTGACCACTACTGTCGACTCTGTGCCTGGCATGGTTTTAACTAAGTGCTTTATGTGTGATTTCTGTTATCTTCTCGGTAACAACCAGGAGGTAGGTACTATTATTGGCACCATTTTACAGATGAAGAAACTGAGACCCAAAGAGGTTTAGTATATTGTCTGAGGTGCTACAGCTAGCTATGATCAAACCAGGACTTAAAGGTTATATTTCCAAGCCAGTGCTCAGAAACAGAGTACTGCAACTGCCTTTCCAAGGAAGGTCATTAAACTTAAATACCACAGAATTTCTAGCAGTTAAACAAGTACATTAACTAGGACATTTGTGCAACAGAACAACAAACATTTTGACCAGGGAAAATGGAATTCCAGTTGTTGAACCCCCTTCCTGTGATTTCATTCAGTTTCTGTTGAAGTAACATTATGAACTCCCTGCCTTTGTTTTTGGAGCATGGTGGCATATGCATCACATACTGATGACACATCTCGTGAGCTGAGTTAAAAATCCATCTTCCTGCTATCCACTCGGGGGTTTAGACGGTACTCGGAGACTCCTGATGTGCTTCATTTGACACATTTCCATACTGGCTGATAGAGGCTTCATAGCGTGAATCTAAACCTAGAGTCCGAGTTGGAGGATGCATCCATAGTGGGAGGCACCAGCAAGAGTGCCTCTGTTGTGCCTGTGTGTCTCAGAGCTGTGTGAGAGCCAGCAGCTCCCGTGTAGTCTGGGGGTTGCCGCTTACTGTCCATTCATATCCAGCACCATTTCTTTTCATGAGAAAATGCAGCCTTGTTGGTAGCAGTCCCTGCCTTTCCTCTGGTTCCTGTGTGTTAATTCTGTGGGTGTTGCCGTTCCTTTTACCTGCAGCCTCTCGACGTCATTCCAGGTCCACTAGTGCTCTCTCCACTGCTGAATCTGTTGGGCAGTCAGGTGAACAAGTGCTAACTGCATGACTCGGCTTCTCCATCTGTTCTAGTTCCACTCCCATGTTAACATTTGTTTTCATCCGTGTCAGCTACCGCTTGGCATGTGTGCACCTCATGTTTGTTTTCCCTGATGTGCTTTCGTTTTTTTAAGTTGTTGAATGTTTATAGTTCTGTTAATAGGCCATAGATGCTTTATTGCCTGTTTGACAGCATCATTTCTCTAGTGTTCATATTTATGTCAAAACAAAGAAATGGGGATGCACATCTTCCCCTCCTACCACCCCCTTCCCATGAAAACAACCACCCAAAGTGGATGTCACATAGGGCCCCATGGGGACATGGGGTGTGGATATCATCCAACAGCCTTTCATCTCCAGAGCATTCACTTCTCAGTGTAGTGTCAAATGTTAATGTTACTTATTACCATCAGGTTCCAATTATTTGGAGGTACTGTTCAGTTAACAATGCTTCAAATTATAGCATGCATAGTTTCAAATATATGAAAGTAAGTGTCCTAAAAGTTTTGATGGAAAAATAAGATCAGGATTCAGGTAATTAAATCAGGCCAGAGCTTAACCTTTGCAGCCTGTGGACCCCAAACCTTTCATCTCAGCTCTAACACATCATTTATCAACTGGCTAGCCAGAGGGGCAAAAAGTAAACATATGATAGCATCAATTTGCCACATTTAACTGGCCTAATTTTCATATGCTGAGAGTCTCTGATGACTATTTTTCTCAATTGAGTATTAATTCATGAGCTGTGGATGGTGACAGTGCTTACCAGTTCCCTCAGTCAGTTATTTTCTCTTTAGTTCTATGTACGCTAGGATTTAAAAGCATTCTCCTAATGATTAGGGGCCAGACTGTGGGCACAGCTCTACACATCCATCCTTTGGACTACTGAGCTTTGTCACAGTGTCAGAGCAATAGGAATGTAGAGCAGATTTTGGTTTGGTGGAGACAAAAAGTTGGTCATCTTGCTTAGGTCCAGGTAAACATTTCTCCTTAAGATCTGAAGTTCAGGAACTGAGGGTTAGCTTAGTGGTAGAGCACATGCTCAGCATCCACAAGACCCTGGGTTTCATCCCCAGCACCACAGAAAAGAAAGAAAAAAAAAATACAAGATCTGCAATTCAAATTATCTGTATTCTATATCAGGTGATCCTAGTCACTGTGTATGGCAAAGCTGTTTGCATCTGGGAAACACAGAATAATTGCATTGTTCTTATAAGTTTTAATTTTGTTTCTGATTTAAAACAAAATGAAACAATATTATCCCAGGAACAAGAATCGCTGGCATGAGATTTACTTTTTTTTAGTTTTTAAAATTTTTTTAGACTCCGTTTTATTTAAGTTTTGCTGGGTAATTTTTAAATGGCTTATAACTGAATTACTTTCATTCTGTTACTCATAAATCCCTTACTATCTACCCTTTTTTAATGAAAAAAAAAGACTTAAAGATTATCTATAAATCTGTAAATCTCAAATTTATACTCATTTCATAATTTAACTAACATAGATATAGAAATGTGATTATTTTATGGTCTTTTTAGGTTTCATGTGGCACATGAAATCACCTTTGCAACACAATGACTAAGAGGACATTTGGAATGATCAGCAAATGCATTAAAAAAGGGGATAGTATAACATACAATTTTTGTTTATAAAAATTCATGACTGTATAACTATTGACTAGCTGTGTTTAAATTATTTTCCCTTTCTGTTGTAGTAGAAGGTATAATAGCTTGAAATTGACATTTTATAAAAGCTAAATAACATAACAATTTCAAAGTCCATCAGTTTTATAGTGGTGTCTTATTACCAATCCAAAGTTTATGTAAAATCAATATTAGCTCCCCTCTTAATCGATGCTTCATACAAGAATATGGCTAATACAGAAATTTCCCTTGTTGAAACAGTTCACAGGGAAAACACTTTTTATCTTAAAATTTTTCTTCAAAGTTTTTTGTACATCAGAATTTTAATTAAGAAACTTTATCAGTAATTAAGAAACTTTATCATTCCCAATGCATCTTTTACACTGACTTCTTCCTATCATAGTCTTAATCTCCAGCACTTCTTAAGGAAGGCTGGTCAACTGACTTACTGGGACTTTAAAAACTAAGGCTTCATATACTGTGATCACTAACAACCTTAGAATAGTTGTTTGAAATGTTAAAAGTTATCTTAAATTCTTTGGATTCTCTCCATTTTGTTTATCTGTATAAAGACTATTATTCAGTATAAAGGCTATTATTCAGCTTGGTGCCGTGGTGCATGCCTATAATCCCAGCAATTTGGGAGGCTGAGGCAATCGGATTCTAAGTTCCAGTCCAGCCTGGACAACTTGCCCAGACCCTCTCTCAAAATAGAAAATAAAAAGGGCTGGCGGTATAGCCCAGTATTGCAAAAACAACAAAAAGACTAAGGAAATTTTGCACAGAGATCAATTTAGTACATTCATTTCGAATTTTAATTGTTTACTTCACTCTTTGATCAAATCATGAAGCTTTCTAATTAGTTTGAAGAAACATTAAGGCCATTTGCCTGTAGAGGAAAAGCTCAATAGATTAAAAGATTCAGTTCATAGTCCAGCTCCCTTCTAGAATAAGTTCCCCTCTCTCATGTCTCAAAGTAATAAAATAGTAAGGGATAGTTTCCACTAAAAGAACAGTTTCCACTATTGAGCTTTGTGGCTCCATAGTATTAAATGCAAACAACTTAACCTCTACCACTGGTAAATAAGTTAATGCAGTTAAAATTGGCTAGGGATTTGTCAGAGCCTCTATCCACTGTGGCACAAAGAGGCAGGAGCCCCTTGCAAAGAATTGAGAGTAAGTGAATTAAAGTGACACATCTTTTGCTTTTGTTTTCTAAATAGACCGATTTGGGCTGGGCCAGCCAGGAAGAATACCAGGTTCCGTGAATGCCATGCGGGTTTTGAGCACCAGTACAGATCTGGAAGCTGCAGTTGCTGATGCTTTGGTAAGGGGCGCAGTGTGTGCAGAATCTCTTTGAATTATTCATCCACATTTTTCCCTGTCTTCACAGGAGGTTGCCCCAAATCAGGTTACTAAATCATATTTGAAACCCTTCAAAATTATATAAACGTTGAACAGATTTACATTACTGTTGTTTTCCTCTTAATCTTTTACATCCACACACATACATGAAAATTGGCCTTCCAAAAAATATTAGTATCCAGTATTCCTTACCTGTCTGTGCTCCTCAGTATCAAGGAGATTTTGATGACATCAGACTTCTCAGATGTCATTGAGCTGTTTTTTTTTTGGGGGGGGACCATGGTTTTTTTCCAGCATTTCCTGTTTTCCATCCTGTTGCTTCTGTTGCTTTATAGACCTTGATGGCATAGCCTAAACATAATTATAACACTAGGTAATAGTTTGAGGTTTGAAAATCTTGCATTTATTTCTTTCCCTTACTAGTGGGTCTGTATGATCTGTTTGTTTTTTTTTAAGTCAATATTTAAGAAAATTTTCCTAAATTTTAATGTTTACTGTTTGAGGATATGAAATACTGATGTGTTTTTGCTTCATTATAATGTAAAATTTTTTTAAAAAAGTGACCAGAGCTCTTTTAATTTGTGGTTGTAGCAAAAGTTCCTTGGTAGAACCTGCTCATGGTCAAGATGCATTTCAGCTGGTGGGAGCACAGTGTCTTGCATATTCCAGTTTATGTGCTCAGAATTCAAAATAGATATTCTTGAGAATCATCTGATCTCTAGCCTTGCCTTTGCTATTTTAAGATTTGTTCTCTTGTAGAGAAAAAAGTACACATAACAGGATCCTGCTTTCCTACCCTGAGTTTTTTAATCCAGCCATGTTCCATCTGACTGACACTTTATAGTCTGCGGCTGTGGAGTTTCCTGCTTTCATCCCTTCCTGTCTCTCCTTCATTTATTCTTGCTCAGTCAGATGATTTCTTGTACAAGTGTCTGTGAGCAAGCAGTTTACTGCTCTCAGAATGCTTTCCTGGTAGACAGATGGCCTGGCCAGCTCTATTCATCACCCTTATATGTAGAACTTTTTCTGGCAGGTATTGGAGTCCAGGGTAATTGCTCTGGCCATGGCTTTAACTTAAGAGTCAAGAGCTGGAACAGAATTCTATGAAGCTGTTTCTCCTTCCAAATTACAGCATTTAGAATCCGTCTTTTATTTGTTCAGAGATCCTAGGAAGTGGACATCAGAGGAGTGGGAAACAATGGAAGCTGAAACCCTTACTAAATGGGACTTCCAGTTAAGGCTGAGGACTTTCTTAGTTGTTTAAAGAACTGCATAAGGGACTGTGTGCAAAGTTCTAGGAGGCAGAACAGAGATGGAGAGTTGGAGCTTTGGCATAACTTGACTTGAGCTTTTCGCTGAGCCCCAGCTCCCTTTGTACTCAGTCTGCCCTTGTTATTTTCTGTCCACTCTGGTCTCTTCAAGTGACCTGCTTCGGAAGAGCTTAAAGCACAGGAATGGTACTGAATTCCTGCCTACAGAATAAAAGCCCCAGGGACAGACAGAAAGAATAGACAGACAGAATAGATAGTAGATCAGAAGTCACATTAGAGATGTGCTTCATGGGTATGGGTATGGGAAGTTTCAGTAAAGAATTATAGCAAGAGCCAGAAGGTGCTAGGAGAGGTTTAGGAGGTTAGGAAATGCCATTTTGAAAAAAAAGCAGTCTTTATTACTACCTGCTTGGTGTGAAACGCTTGCTGATCTGTATTTTTAGTTTGCTAAGAAATGTTTTGCTATACGCTTTTGTTGCCAGAACAATCCCCACATATGCTTCTGACATAATTCTCTATGCTTTTTCCCCATCCTTCAATATTTTCCTGCCTACAGCTGTTAGGAGACGCCAGGAGCAAGGTACCAGTGCTTTAACTTTTGTTTACAACTTTATTTTTTTTCTGTTGCAAGTATATTTCTTTTAGAATCTAGCAAAAGCAGCACAAAATGTAGTAGAAATTCTGGTCTGAGTTCTGATTCTGTTGAATCTCCCAATGCCTTTACTAGGGATGGAATCGAATCACTTTTTATGTATGTTTGTGTTAGCATTTATTTTAATGTCATGCTCTGTCTCCTATTAGAATTGCATTATATTAACTCAATCTGTGCCTGTTCTTATATTGTCATTGTTTCACAAATGAATTTATTGACATTTTTCTTATTTTAGGACTCTGTGTGTGAGTGGGATGATCATATAACTTAGTATCCAAACACAAATACTTTCAATAGTAAAAAGGGGGTACTATTCATAATTATGCTGGGACAATAGGCAGATGACAAAACAGTCCCGAGCAAGTTGGATTCATAAAAATTAGTATTAATAGAAAATTGAATCTGTACAACTTAAACCGGTGACTGTTTTGGTTTTAGAAAAATTTGTATTTTATAATTTTTATCAGTTTTATATAGCTAGTAGGTTTAATGTAGTTTTTGTATTCAGAGTAAGAGAAATGAATGAAGCAGATATTATAGTCTGCTTTAAAAGAAGCCTGTTTTTGTTGCAAAACTAAAGTCCTTAATGAAAGTGGTTTAGATAATTTAAGAATTCTTTTACATAGGATATTTCTGCCACTGGCATTTCAATTTCAGGTTTTCTTAACGAAATGTCATCACAGAAGTTTGCCCATAGACCATGCTCAAAGCAGCTTGCACGGGGCCCCCAGGGGTGCACACACCTGCAGTGTCTTAGGCACTGAGCTGGATTATTTGGCCTAGAATTCCAGTGAGTCCTCGAAGCAAGCCTGTGGGATTGGCATAAATATCGTCCTCTCGCAGAGTAAGAAACTGAAGGAAAAATCTTCACAGGCTTTCTGAAATCATGCAGCCAGTCAGTGGTAGCACCAGGATTGTAACCCAAGTCTGCCTGGCTGCAAAACCCATACACTGTACACTGTATTAAGAGGACAAATTGTGTGTGTGTGTCCCAGTGTCCTGTTCCCCCACCACCACCCCCGCCAAGGAGTGTGATACTTATTACCTGTTTTTCCTCCTGGAAGTCTGCTTTTCTGTTTTTATTTCCCTGATCTATAAGCACAGGACAAGTGTGTGTGTGTATGTGTGTGTGTGTGTGTGTGTTTCCCCATTTAACTCTGTTATTGTTTTTATTTGATATGACTCATGACCATTTCACCTTTCCATTTCTTCCTCGTTCACCTCCATCCCTCATTGGATCCATCAGAAGAAGCCTGTGAGGAGGAGATATGAGCCATATGGGATGTATTCTGATGATGACGCCAACAGCGATGCCTCAAGTGTTTGCTCCGAGCGCTCCTATGGCTCCAGGAATGGCGGCATTCCCCATTATTTGCGGCAGACCGAGGATGTAGCAGAAGTTCTCAACCACTGTGCAAGTTCAAACTGGTCAGAAAGGAAAGAAGGGCTGCTGGGCTTGCAGAACTTGCTGAAGAGCCAAAGAACACTGAGGTAAGGGCAGGAGACCAGGGTTGAGAGTCATGCCCGTGTCCCCTCTTAACTCATCAGAGACTTAAAGGGGTTTCTGTGTATGTGTATTTATTTATTCTAATTTGTTATATTTGACAGCAGAATGCATTACAATTCATATTTCACATATAGAGCACATATCTCTGGTTGTACACATAGTAGAGTCATGCCATTGATGTCTTCATACATGTACTTAGGGTAACGATATCCATCTCATTCCACTGTCTTTCCTACCCCTATGCCCCCTCCCTCCCCCTCCCTTCCCTTTGCCCTATCTAGAGTTCATATAATTCTCCCATGCCCCCTCCCAACCCCATTATGAATCAGCCTCCTTATATCAGAGAAAACTTTCAGCATTTAGTTTTTTGGGATTGGCTAACATCACTTAGCATTATATTCTCCAACTCCACCCATTTACCTGCAAATGCCATGATTTTTTTTCTTTTATTGCTGAGTAATATTACATTGTGTATATATACCACATTTTCTTTATCCATTCATCTACTGAAGGGCATCTAAGTTGGTTCCACAGTTTAGCTATTGTGAATCATGCTGCTATAAACTTTGATGTGGCTATGTCCCTGTAGTATACTGTTTTTAAGTTCTTAAAGGGGTTTCTTGTCATTTAAGGTGTCCTTACAAAGTTCCATGTGTTGATGCTCAAAAGTAAGACCCATCCTTGCCATTCAAAGTCTTCAAAATATCTGGCACATATTCTATAATTGTTTAGGCTTATGAAACATTTATTTCCCTTAAGGTTCATATTTTTCTATTTCATGTTGTTATTGAGAAATCTGGGTATAGTTTACAATTCAGGTGAAGAATGAAACAACTCTGCAAATTAGTATGTTGTATTCCTCTTCAAGGTTCAGGATAAAATGTCTCAGTCTAAAATTTTTAATACTTATAAGCATATAGTAGCTTATAAATATGCAGAGTAAACAGATGATAAAACAGAGCCCTTCAAATCAGCAGCGTTATTTTTTGAACATTTTTCTTTTTTGCTTTGTTTACATATTTTATAATTTTCTAAAATAAGCATGTATTATATAACATCAAAAAGGTATGCATTTATACCATATTTGGGCCCCTTTGGTATACTATGATTTTATGTCTCTCTAAAGAAGTAATGAGAAATGCTGTTTACTAAATATGGCAGTGTTACTATGTCACCAAGTATAAGATAAATTTTAATTATGGAGATGTTAAAACATGGGAATTGAGAAAAGGACAAATGAACTCATGAAATGCAATGTACTATATCTTCTGGATTTTTTTTTTAAAGATAAGTATCAAGACTGGCTATGTTGTGACCTTGGGTGAGGCTCCTCCTGGGCTCTTTGTAGCCAGATGAGCACTGGCTGATGAGTGGCTCTGCCCCCCGGGTGGCTCTTCATCTGCTTCCACCTTCCTGTACTGACACCTGCCCACATTATACCGTCTGTCCTTGAAGATGGTGTGAGAGGATCTGTCATATGCCTTCTGAAATGCAGGCTTCTGATGACACTCGTGATCTGTCAAAAATAAAATGAGGATGATTTTTCTTCCAGAATTCATTTTTTCCTGCTGATTCTATTTTTTGGATTCCTAGGGTTCACCATGTACCCATTAAATAATCTCTAGAAATCAGCATTCACTTTAGGTTGTACTTTTAATAGTACGTACTAAAGGGTCATTGAGCCAACTTTCTCATCTGTGTAAGGATGGATGATAATTTGAGGAAGAGAGGACCCTCTTTTCAGCTTCAGAGTGAAAAAAAAAGGTAGTAGTGCAATCATGGATCAGAAAAGGTAAAGAATACCAGTGTGCCTAAGGGTTTGCTGTGTCCCCCGTACAGTAGTAGGTGCCATGTGTTACCTTCCCAGCAGCCTTGTGACATACTGCATATCCTGTTTGACTGAGAAGAGGCCAGAGCTTTAAAGAGAAGGATTAAAGGTATCATGATCCTTTGTTTGTAGTAGAATTAAGGTTCCAGGTCTGTGTGACCCTGAAACACATGCTTCTTTTCTAATTTATTGCTTACCCTTTCAGCTGTGGCAGATGGAGAAGAGCCCTGGGTCAAGTTGAAGGGGGTTTGGGTCATGCTTTGTCACTTTCTGTGAGCTTGGGAATATCATGCTCCAAGTGTCGATTTCCTCACCTTAAAATGAGAATGAATCTATACCTTTATATTCTTAACTTCATGAATTAAATAAGATATTTATTTGTGGAAAATTCTGTTGCATAAATATAGATTAGGTAAAGCTGCATAGTTGACAGAAACAAAGTTATTTTCTCTTTTTTTTAAATTGGTGTATGAGAAATGTAAAGAATAGTGATATATTTTATATATGTATAAAATTGTGGTGTATTTGTATATGCACATAACATAATTTGGTCAATTTCATTGTCCATTACTTCTTCTTTCCCTCCCCTCTTCCCTATCCCTATTCTTCTTCCTCTGTTCTTCTGGTCTGTTTTCCACTCATTTATTTATTTTTAATTGGTATTTTATAAATATACCTACAGGTAGAATTCACTGTAGTGTATTCATATATGCACATATCACAGTTTTGTCAAGTTCATTCATTGCCTCCTCCCTCCACTTCAATCTCCTTCTATTCCACTGATCTTCCTCTGTCTTTATAATATTTGAACCCCCCCCACAACATTTTCCCCCCTTACTTTGCTTTAGCTTTCATGTATGAGAGAAAGCATTTGACCTTTGATTTTCTGAATCTGACTCATTTCACTTAGAATGATGATCTTCAGTTCTATTCATTTACTGGAAAATGCTATAATTTCATTCTAATTTATGGCTGAGTAAAACTCCATTGTGTACATATACCACATTTTCTTTATCTGTTCATGAATGGGCACCTGGACTGGTTCCATAACTTGACTATTATAAGTTGTGCTGCTGTAAACATTGATGTGGCTGTATCACCATAGTATGCTGATTTTAGTTTGTATAAGCACCAAGGAGTGGGATAGCTGGGTCATAAGGTTTTAAGGTATATCCATACTGCTTTCCAGCATGATTGTACTAATTTGCAGTCTTACCACCAGTGCATGAGTGTGCCTTTTTCCCTACCAGAATTTATTATTTGTATTCTTGGTAATTGCCATTCTGACTGAAGTGAGATGAAATCTCAGTATAATTTTGATTAACATTTCCCTGAGTGCTGGAGATGTTGAACATTTTTCCATGTATATGTTAGCTATTTGTGTTTCTTTTGAGAAATATCTGTTTAATTCTTTTTTCATTTGTTGATTGTGATTTTGTTGTTTTTGTTGTTATTGTTGTTTTTGACATTGAGCTTTTTAAACTCTGATATTCTGGATATTAATTCCCTGTCAGGGGAGTAGCTGGTAAAGATTTTCTTCCATTTTGTAGGCTCTCTCTTCATATTCTTAATAATTTTCTTTGCTCTGCAGAACTTTTTAATTTAATGCTGTCCCACCTACTGATTCTTGGTTTTATTTCTTAAGCTTTAGGAGTCTTGTTAAAGAAATCGGTACCTGTGCCAGTGTATTAGAGTGTTGACCCTCTTTTCTTCTAGCCAATTACAAAGTTTCTGATCTAATTCCTCTAAGTTTTTGATCCACTTTGATTTGACTTCTATCCAGGGTGAGGGCTAGAGGTAGTTAAAAAGGCTGTCTTTTCTCCCACATATATTTTTGGCACCTTTGTCAAGTATCAGATGACTTAGCTACGTGGGTTTGTCTCTGTCTTCTTTTCTGTTCCCATGATCTTCGTGTCTGTTTTGAAGGTGATACTATGCCATTTTTGTTACTGTAGCTCTGTAGTAGAATTTGAGATTAGGTATTGTGATGCCTCCTGCTTTGCTTTTCTTGGTTAAGATTGTTTGGCTATTCTGGGTCTTTTATTCTTCCAAATGACTTTCCAGTTCTGTGAACAATGTCATTGGTATTTTGATGGAGATTCCATTGAATCTGTGTTTTTGGTAAGATGGCCATTTTGACAATATTAATTCAGCCTATCCAGGAACATGGGAGGTCTTTCCATCTTCGAAGGTCTTCATTTTCTTCAGCATTCTATAGTTTTCATTGTAGATATCGTTCACCTACTGTGTTAGATTAATTTCCCAAGTTTGTTTATTTTTTGAGGTTATTGTGAATGACATGGTCTTCCTGATTTCTTTCTCAGCAGACTCTGTATTGGAGCATGGGAAAGCTATTGCTTTGTGAATGTATCCTGCTGAATTTATCAGCTCTAGAAATCTCTGTTTGAGTTTTTGGGGTCTTCTTGATTTAGGGTAATGTCATCAACCAACAAAAATAATTTGATTTCTTTTTCTGTTTGTATCCCTTTAATTTCCTTCTCTTGCCTTATTGCTCTGGCTAGAATTCCAAGAACTATATTGCAGAGAAGTGGTGAGGGTGGACATCCTTGTCTTATTTCTGATTTTAGAGGAAATGCTTTCAGTTTTTCTGCTTGGTATGATGTTGGCTTTGGGTTTGTTATATATAATATTGAGGTAAATTCCTTCTCTAGTGTTTTTAACATGAATGAGTACTGGATTTTATCAAAAGCCTTTTCTATATCTATTGAGATGTTCATGTGATTCTTGTCTTTAATTCTGTTTATGTGGTGAATTACATTTGTTGATTTACCTAGTTTGAACCAATCTCATATCCCTGGGATGAAACCCACTTGATCATGTTGTACTATCTTCTTAATGTGTTTGTGAATGTGGTTTGCTAATATTGTATTAAGGATTTTTGCATTTATGTTCTTCAGGGAGATTGGTCTATAGTTTTCTTTCCTTCATGTGTCTTTGTCTGGTTTTGATATTTGGATCATATTGGCTTCCTAGAATGTATTTGGGAGAATAATAGAATAATTTGAGGAAAACTGGTCTTTATTCTTTTAAGGTCTAGTTGATAAAGAATCCATATGGCCCTGGGGTTTTCTTTGTTGGAAGACTTTTAATTGCTTTTTTGATTTTATACCTTGATATTGGTCTATTTTAGGTTTTCCATATTTTCCTCTTTCAATTTGGACAGGTCATATGTATATAGAAATTTATCAGTGTCTTCCGGAATTTCTAGTTTATTGGAATATAAGTTTTCAAAACAATTTCCAATGATCCTCTGGATTTCAGAAGTGTCTGTGGTGGTATCTCCTTTTGCATCTCTAATGTTGTTAATTTGGGTTTTCTCTCTGTGTTTGGTTAATTTGGCTAGGAGTTTATCAATCTTGTTTATCTTTTCGAAGAAATAACTCTTAGTTGCATTGATACTTTGTATTTTTTATTCTCAATTTTATTAATTTCATCTTTGATCTTTTTGCATCTTCTACTGATTTTGGCATTAATCTTCTTTTTCTCAGCCTTTGAAGTATAGCATTAGCTTATTTATTTGGATTTTTTAAGGTAATCAGTGCTATAAAACGTTCCTCTTATAACTGCCTTCATATTGTGCAAGAGATTTTGATATGTCATGTCTCTGTTCTCATTTGTTTCTAAGAAGTTCTTGCTTTCTCCTCTTGTTTCTTCTATGATCCATTCTTCATTTAAAAGAATATTGTTCACTCTCTGTTTATGTGGTTTCTGTGAATTTTCTTGCTGTTGATTTCTAGTTTCATTTCATTATGACCTGATCATATGCACAGGATTATGTCAATTTGTTTATATTTGCTAAGACTTATCTTATGTTCTGTAATATGGTTTATTTTGGAAAAGATTCCATGAGCTGCAGAGAAGAAAGTGAATTTAGTTGTTTGGGGTAAAATATTCTGTAGATGTCTGTTAGGTCCATGTGATATATAGTATTATTTATGTCAGAATTATCTTATTGACTGTATGTTTGGATGACCTGTCTATTGGTGATAGGGGTGTGTTGAAATCACCCAGTATTATTGGATTAGGTTCTATTAGGATCTAAAGGATTTTTAAAAGCAAACTATAACTAATTGAAGTGATGACTTTTTACATTTTAAATTAATTTATTTCTATTTTATTTCCTCTAGTCGAGTAGAATTGAAGAGATTGTGTGAGATCTTCACCCGAATGTTTGCTGACCCTCATAGCAAGGTAAATCTGGGATCAGACTTATATTCCCATCTGCATGTGTGTGTGAGCTGTGTAAAATACCCAAGAATGAAAGAGAAATCCCCAGTGAGTTTCAGCCTTACAAATGTAACACCCATTTCTGCAATAGCATGTGTTATGTCTCTCCATAATGGAATTTTTAACCAAGCATGGTGGTGCACACCTGTAATCCCAGCTACTGGGGAGGCTAAAATCTAAGAATCCCAAGTTTGAGGCCAGCTGGACAAATTAGTGAAACCTTATAATGTCAAAATAAAAAGAGTTGGAGATAGCACCCTAGGTTTGGTCTGGGACTGTGGCTCAGTGGCAGAGTGGTTGCCTAGCATGTATGAGGCATTAGGTTCAATCCTTAGCACTACATAAAAATAAACAAAATAAGGCATTCTGTCCATCTACAACTACAGAAAAAAATTAAAAACAAAAACACCCTGGGTTCAATACCCAATATTGCAAAATAAAAAATAAAAAGGAATTCTTCAGAACTTAAATGTTCACAAATTTCAAGCTTCAAGTGAAAGCTTTCATGGAAGGAGAATCAGATAATAGTATTTCATTCATTCAACAAACATTTTAATTTTTGTGTCCCTCTTTTAGCTAAATAGTGGGCCAAGTGCTAGAATGGAAGATTGTATAATATAGTGCATTTTTAAAAAGTTGTTGTAGTGAAAAAAATATTTATGTAATTATTTTTGTGAACTTTAGTATTTGTTCTCATAGGACAAGGTAGAAAATGGAAGTATTTATTGAATGGATTCATTGGAAAACCAGGTTATATCTCCAAATAGAATATCGCTGTTCCCAAGAACTTGCTATATGGTGGTCACCATTAGCTGAGGCCCCCACCTCCTGGGGGCCAAAAGAAACACTGGGCCCTTTTGACAAGAGAGTACCTGCATGACTGTGGGACAGGGCCCATTCTAGGGGAAATGCAGAGAGAGGGACACTTTATAAAATTACTTAGAGTCTAGATTTTAAATAAATACCATTGTTTGGGAGGAAGCCTTTAAAGGCTATTAGATGTGTTCAGAGGAAGAAGATGGAAAGATGAAGATACAGGGAAAGTTCAAAAGTGGATAAAGGATGAAACTAAAGTATAGATATTGATGGAACTCTAAACCAGCAGAAGCAGATCTTAAATGCTGACTTGCAGGATTAACCATATTACACTATAGTTTCCCTAGTAAAAAATGGTCTCTTCTAATTCTTGCTGGAAGAAGGCAGCCTATAATACTGTGAAATTCCAGCCAGCTGTATTTCGTCTTCTTTTTCTATCCTTGCTTCCTTATAGGAATTGTCCTTAAAGTAGCATCCACCCACCCACACCCTCATCCATCCAATCATTTGGTATTTACTGAGTACCTGCTATGAGCCAGAGATACAGAAAAACCAGATAAGGCCCCTTGCCTTTTGTTCACAAGACTGAAAGGGAATGAATACAGGGTGATGCTCCACTTCTATGCCCCTGCAAAAATCTCCCGGAAAACCTTCACAACAAGGATAACATTAACAATGTCAATAAAACCCAAAAGAGGTCAAGTTTAGAGGCCATATAGAAATTCAAAGATATAATCTTTGCACACTTTTCTCTAAGGTAATGTTAAAAGCAATAAGAGTTAAAGCATAAGTATAATACATTTCGTAAGAATTATACCATAAGGGATATTAGATGGTTTTGAACATTGATGAAATTTCTGTTACCTGTTACCTCTAGATTGCTGATTCAGAAGCAGAATGTGAGGATAAAGAAGGAAATTTGTTATCATCAGAAGGCTCTTGTCCAGTGAGTTTGGAGGTCTCAGTTTAGTTGATATTTGTTAGCTGTCTGTGAGAGAAGCCAGGAATCCCACAGCCAGGGCCACTGGCTTTTTTTTTCCTGAGCTGACTCACTGGAGACCCCTGGTGGTGAACAGTTGCTGCACTAGAAACGAGGAGGTGTGTGATTGGTGGGTTGTCCCAGTAGAGCAAGGCTCACTGAAGAGGTAGGGAAACACGGTGCTACTAATCTCTCTGAAATTGGTTCACAGATATTCCACTGTGGACTGTTTCACCTTAGATATCTGTGATAATTACACAGCAGTACAAGAATTACATGAACTGTCATTATCATTTATTATAATATTTTATTCATAATATCTGAAATTGGCATACTTCAAAAGAGCTGATTAAGATGAAAGGCAATAGCTACACAATAGGGAATGGATTTTTTTTTGTATCTTATACCATGAATACTCAATAATGAGCAAGAATAGTATAGAATTAGGACAATTGTTTTTTCTCTCTCTTTTTCTCTTTTTTTTTTTTAAAAAAAAAGCCTCTAGGATTAAACTCAGAAAAATTCATTCCTCTTTGTACTAACTTTTATAGGCTAATATTGAGGGAGGAGCAAGTATTTTATCAGTTTGTAGCTTTTTCAGGATTTTTAAAGAAACTGCATGAAAATGATATTCACTGTGACTAACGTGGAATTTGTTTTGTTGCATGGCCTGGTTTGCGGTGGAATTCACAACAGAGAGTAAGTGTCAGTCCTTTTTCCTTTCTCCATTTTCCACAATGCATTTGCCTTTGCAATATGAGCGGTTGTTAACAGTGTTCACATAAATGATGAGAGTCTGGGTAAAATAGCATGGGCCTTTTTAATGCTTTCTACTCTTTGGAGAAAATCATGAATCAGACATGTGAAATGCTTGGTTTTCATTTGTGTTCAGGTTTTCAGTATGTTCTTGGAGACTCTAGTGGATTTTATAATAATTCATAAGGATGACTTGCAAGACTGGCTTTTTGTCCTTCTCACACAATTACTTAAGAAAATGGGAGCAGATTTACTTGGCTCTGTGCAAGCAAAAGTTCAGAAGGCCCTAGATGTCACAAGGTGAGTGTCAAGGGGCTCAGCCATGTTGTTACAAGTCTCGACTGTGATTTCTTGGCAACGGCTTCTGTTACTCATGGTCTTTGTCACCCACTCAAATCTCTTCTCTCTTGCTCAGTTCTCAAGTTCTCTTGTTGACTTTTGTCTACATGTCCCAACCTTGACTTGGCATTGTATTTTGTGAATGCCTTAGACACATGTAAAACTTTGAGAATGATTATCTTTCCTGTATAAAATATTTAAAGAGAATGTTTAAAATATACATATCTTTCTGAAGTTCTTAGTATTCTCAATACCAATTTCTTTTAAGTCACACTGGAAATTTATCAATGTATGATGTTGAGATGCTGTTGGTTCAGAAACTGTCTTTAAGTTGACCGGTTCCTTGATAAACATTACAACAGTTGTAAGCCTTGTAGCTGTTATGAGGAAAGAGAAGCTACAAGGCTTAGAAAAAATTAAAAACTATGTTCAGAAGCCTCTTCTCCCTTGTCTGTGCTATTACAGATCTTCAGTATACAAGAGTTAGAATTAAGTGTTCTCAGAAGACACTTTGCAATAATGTTGACATTGTCATCTGGTGGGAAAAGGAGAGAGATGTATCAGATTAATGAATCTTTTATTAAGAACAGATGAGCCAGATGTGGTACACACCTGTAATCCCAGTGATTTGGTAGGCTAAGGCAGGAGGATCACAGATTCGAGGCCAGCTTAATGAGATTTTGTCTCAAAAAATAAGTACAGGGCTGGGGATATAGTTCAGTTGGTAGAGTGCTTGTCTCACATGCACAAGGTCCTGGGTTCAATCCCTAGCATCATACGCATACATACATGCACACAAACAAAAAAAGGACCGGACTGGTAGTATAGCTTGGTGGTAAAGTGTCCCTAGGTTCAATTCCTAATGCTAAAATAAAAATGAGTGAATGAATAAATGAATGGATAGACAGAACTGCACACGGGGATGCATGCCTGTAATCTCAGTGACTCAGGAAGCTAAGGCAGGAAGATCTCAAGTTCAGGGCCAACCTCAGCAACTGTGAGACCTTTAGCAACTTATCAAGATGCTGTCTTAAAAACCAAAAAGGACTAAAGCTGTAGCTCAGTGGTAAAGCACTAAAGAAACAAATAAATTTTAAAATAAATAAATGAATGACTCCTGGATCACTCAGAAAATTATCATCAAAGCAGTAACTTTTTTTTTTTTTTTTTTTTGGTGGTGGTGCTGGGGATTGAACCCAGGGCTTTGTACATGCAAGACAAGCACTCTACTAACTGCGCTTATCCACAGCCCTCAGAGCATTAACTTTTATAAGACCCCATAACAATATTAATGATAATAATTATTATTTTTGGTATTGGGGATTGAACCCAGAGGTGCTGCATTCTCAGCACCTTTGCACCTTTTGTCTTGAGACTGTGTCTCATTAAGTTGTTGAGGGTGTCACTAGGTTGCTGAGACTGGTCTCGAACTTGTGATCCTCTTTTCTCAGCCTCCCAAGTCACTGGGATTATAGACATATGCCACCATATTCAGCTTATAAGACCCAGTTATTATTTATAAACTGAAATAATAGAAATTTTTAAACAAAGGACCTTAAAGATGATGTTCATATCATCAGTGAGAAGCAGACTACTTTGCCCAGGCTCACACTTGGTGTTAGTGGCCATCTGGGAATTAGCATCCAGGATTTTTGATCATTGCTCCTCTCTTTGCTTCTGTGACTCCAGGCTGCTCTGTAGGCATGTGTCCTCCCTTCCTGTGTGTGGGGTAGAGGTAGTGCTTGTACCTTTATTTTGTGTCCAGCTCATACCACTAACAACAGCACATGCCCTTCCCCGTCCCCATCCATGCAGATAGTGCAGGACTCTGGCTGCCTTGCACACATTTGTCCCTCTATACTCTGATGCCAGGGGTTTTTCTTTTGGTTAACCTTCTAATTTGTACTGTTATAAAATACCTTTCTTCTGATTTCCTGTAAACTCAAAAGTAACATGCTGCATTCAGAATAAGACTTTCAAACTAGACTCTCTCTTTGGATGATCAAATTTAATGGAATTAGGGAGCATTACAATGGAAGGTGTGGCCAGGAATTGATAGACTGATACAGCTGGTAGAAATGAGTGATGAGAAGGGAGTTATTGACAGGCTGTGGAATGTGGGCCCAGTGGAACCAGAGTTTTCAAAACAGGTCATAAATAAAGATTTGGGAACACATTTCTTATGCCTCTAAAGGCCAAACAAAATGTATGAGCCATATCTGATCTCTGGGTCACTTAAATCAAGTGAATTTATGAAGGAAAGGTCCATTTCAGATTTTTAGGAATGATGGACATATTAATCGTTTTGTCCCACTGACCCAGATGTGGGACACCTATAAATACTTAAACTGAACAACAAATATACTACTTATGATAACTTTGAAATAATATTTGAATATTTGTTACATTTGCAGAACTGAAAATTTAGGACTTAATGGATTAAGATTATACTCTTAAAGGTTACTGCTTAGTCTTAATCTTTAAAATAGCTACCCAAAGTAACTTCAGTATGTATTTTGGGACATTTTTTTTATTATTATTATTTTCTACATAAGGATGTGTTAATTTAGGATTTCTATAAAGTTAAAAGTACTATTTCCAAATAGGCTATAATTTATAATATTCTGCAAACTAAACTTTGGTAATTAAGGAATACAGTGTGTCCTCTTTCTAATTTTCATAGCTGCCCCTTTCCGTAAAACAAAATCTAATCTCAGTAGACTTGTTCTGAGTCCCTAGGGTATTTTTGTGATTCCCTTCTTTGTTTCAGCTGCTGAGTTGTGCAGCTGTTGAAGTTCATCTGGAACCATCCAGTGGTTATTTGGAGGGACTTTCAGTGGTGGCTCAGAGGTGCCTATTCTAGACCTGAGCTAATCTGCCTGAGTTTCCTCTCTGTGGCTGAGCTAACAACAGGGTGCATTTCCGGGTTAAACACACCAGTGCCTGAAGTATATTCTCCACTCATCCCCTTGCTGCACAAGCAGGGAGCAGCATTTTGTGTGCAGTGTGTCAACCAGTCACTTAAGTTGGGTGTACTGACAACTGACGTGCACTTGGTCTCCAGAAGCAGTCCTCAGAACTTCCAGGGTGCAGATAGACATGAGAGAAAAGGGTGCTGTGGGTTAGGTTTGCTTTCTGTTGGTAATTATGATACTGATAATGGTGGCACCTAATATGCACCACTTCATAAAACTTGATATTTTTCTTATATCATTTATTTTAATTTTCATAACAATTCTGAGATCATAGATATTATTTGCTTCAAATATTTGTAGCTTCACACCTACATTTTTATTCATTTTACTGTACTTCTATAGACTAGGAAAGGTTTCTAAAAGGTTCCAAAGAAAGAAATGTAACCACTCAGCCTCAGTTGTAATAGGACTTGCCGATTGCATTATCTTTCCTGTTAATGTAGAAGTCCCATCAGCGTCATCTACATAGTGCTCCATTAGGTAGTTTTTAACTGGTACTAGTAATTGCCACTTTTAAGGGAGAGAGCACTGATTTTCACTAGCCAGGAGCCCTTTGATTGGCTCAGAGATGCACAATGACTATGAGAAATGGGTCATTCACAGGCAAGAAATGGAACAAGAGAAGGGGCTCCTTGGGCCCCAGGCTTCTGTGTGTGAGTTGAGCTGGGTGGGGAATTTCTGTCTCTGAGTTTTTATCAGGCATTCTTTTATGGTGGTCAGACCAAAATAGAATGATAGGCAGTTTCCAGGACAAAGAAAACAGACATTTGGCTTAAGCCAGGTCACCTGGAAGCAGCATAGTGGGGTTGTAAAAATAAGATCTGGGAAATCGGAACTGTTTCTCGGGTAAGCGGCATTCAGAAAGGTAGCTGGAGTGAAGAGAGGATGACCCTGAGCAGGACAGGAGGAATCTTCCTTACTGCCTTGTTTGCTGTTTGGTCTTAATCTTTAAAAGAGCTACTCAAAGTAACTTTAGTGTAACTTTAGTGTAAGATTTTCCTTTTCTTAAATTTCCTATATAAACATGTACTTGATATTTGTGCAAAACGAAAAGTACTATTTAAAGAATGTGAATAGGCATTTACATATATTAATTTATAACAGTATGTTTTTGTTATGTAGTTTGACATTCCTTTTTGCAATATCTTTAAAAGCAAGCACTCTCTTTTCTTTTAATATAGGGACTCCTTTCCATTTGATCAACAGTTTAACATTTTGATGAGATTTATTGTGGATCAAACTCAGACTCCAAACCTCAAGGTCAGTATCTATTCGTCATTACAGTTCAACCCCAGAAACTCAAAAAGTTGCTTAAGATTTACTTTTTTAATACATGACTCATATTTAGCAGTTAGGAAGTCTGTGAATATTCCTTTTCCACTCTGTGGACATGTTTTCATTTCTCTTGGTTTAGTGCCTTGTAAAGGAATTGCTGTTCATAAAGTAGGCATGGTCAGCTTTTTTAGAAGCCAAAATGATTATAACATATTACATCTCTACCAGCAAAGTATGAGAGTTTCTGTTGTTCCACATCCTCACCATCATTTGGGCATTAGTAATCTTTTGCACAATTAATATTTAAACTAGAAAATTAAGCATTCTGATGTGTTGAGATCAGCATCTTGTTGGAATATTTCTTTAATGTTATCACTCTCTAAAATGTGGAAAATCATCTTATTGATAATAACTTGACTAAATTTTTTTGTTGTTGTACAGGGAGGGAAGATGTATGTAGTCATATTCGTCATCTGTTCCTGGATCATGAATTTGTCTTGAGGTTTCACTTTGGGCCTAATAAATGAACACCCTTTTGACGAGTTGATATAAAAGAGTAGAAAACGAGCTTGCCTCAACGGACAGGGCCTGGAATGTGTGAAAAACTAACTACAGAGTTGAGCCTGCCCTCTCATTTGGTGGCAGAGCTGCCCTATAAGTGTCCGGCAGCACTTGTGAGGATTAGGATGTCATTTCATGTGGAAGTATAAGTCTAGGACAAAGGAAGGGAGTTTCCCCCCTCAATGGTGTTTACTTTTCTGTGGCCACCACTTATGAATTCTATTTAAAGATTGGTTGAGTATACTTGATGCTTATAATTATTTGGTCTTTCAGGTCAAAGTTGCAATCCTGAAATACATTGAGTCTCTGGCCAGACAGATGGACCCAACAGATTTTGTAAACTCTAGCGAGACGAGGCTTGCTGTTTCTAGAATCATTACCTGGACAACAGAACCAAAGAGTTCAGATGTGAGAAAGGTATGACCAAGAGAGCTAAAGTATAATTACAGACTGTCCTAGGCATGTATTAGAAACCATAAATTCATTTAGAAATGTGCAAACTGTCCCCCCACACACACACAAGCACTTTTTTTCTATGAAAAGCAAGGTTTTCTTCTTCTCTTTCCTGTTATGTCCATTTCCAGTGTTTGACTATCACAAGAAAAATCTGATGGGTTAGTGGTTTCCCAGGTGTCCATTTTTATCATTTTATGATGTGAAAGCACTAGCAGTCTAGTGTCTTTTTCAAGAATACTGAACAGTCTGACTTGTGCTTTGAAGATGCAATTGTAGTTCTGAGGCTAGCAGGCTGTGGGGTGCCTGATAGTAAAGTAGGGTGCCTATAGTTGAAAAGTTTGATAAGATAGAACAGATTCTTCACTTTAAGAAGAGCAAATAAACATCTAGTTATATGCCACATTTGGAACATGCTGTCTGTGATTTGGGAAATGGAGTGGCGTGGGGACAGAATTCAGATTTTTGAAACACCTGATACCAACACATTGTTTTGTTGTTGTTATTTTAGTAGCTCAAGGGAAATATTTGCTTCTTCTGAAATAACATTGAGAGGCATATAACATGGTAGAGCACAGGCTACTACTCCTTCTCTTGTAAACTAATCTGCTTTACAGACTGTTAAAAGGATGACAGTAAAGCATTTAATCAGTCTCTGACACTACAGTCAGAGTGTGAGTTCATATTGGGGCTGTTATAGCTATTGTCCTCATTCTCTTCTTATCAGGGGTGTTTCCAAAGCTTGGGTTTCCACACGTGGTTGTTACAAACTTTTACTTTATATAAAAGCTTTGCTTTTCATGCTTTTTAAAGCCCAAATTTCTCAGTTCTGCCTTCAGAACTCCAAGGTGGTTATTTGTGTGAACTCACAACCTGGCATTTTCTTCTTTTGTAATCTACTCCTTCCTCAGCCATCCCTACCAGTAGCCCTTTGGCCTTGGAGCAGGATGGAAAATGTGGATCACCTGGATCCAGACAGGGAAAAGGGAAGAGTGATCCTAAGTAATGTTCAGCATGATTGGTGCATTTCCTGCTGCAAACAGACACTGAACTCTCTGGGAGTTCAAAGAGAAGAACCAAAGAATTATCTAAGAGATTTCTTTAGAAGGATCATGGTCCATTTAATTCTCACTGTCTGTTACTTAGCAATAAACTAACTTGCTCATTGTCAAAGGAACAAGGGGAAATCTTTTTAAAGCACTCATTCAAATTATTATCTAATACCAACTATTTTTTTTCATTCATGATCCTGTTGTAAAATATCATAACATTTATCAAAAATGTTTTTTTCATTGACAACATTTAATACACTAGTTGGGTAGTTTTCAAGAGTCCACAGTAATTGAAATTTTATTTGCTTTAAAAGTCAGAACAGATATTTCTGTTGTAATTTTAAAAATCACAGGATTGAAAACAAAAAGCTTAAATAAAATTGAAGTTGCTCGGGCTAGGGAGGTGGCCCAGTGGAAGAGTGCTTACCTAGCTCAAACCCTGGTTCCAATCCCTATAATCTCCAAAAACAGTTGCTATCTTTCTCTCTTTAGTTATGACACATCTGTATGCATGTTAGTCCACTTTTCATCCCTATAATAAAATATGTAACAGGGTATTTATGAAGAAGAAGAGGTTTATTTAGCTTACAGTTTCAGAGGTTCAGGGCATGATGCTTGCCCTTTGAGGCCCCTTTTTTGGATGCATCACAGCATGGCTGAGGCACACGGAAGAACATATCTCACAAAACAGGAGGACGGAGACTAGGGACCCACAGTCCCTTTGAAGAGCATGCCCTCAATAACCTAAGGATCTCCCACTGGGCTCCTCCTCCTCCTCCTC